CAGCCTGCCACGATGCGGATTGATCCCAAATCTTAGGCCCCTTTAGTCGGCAGTAACACATGGGGTAGGTTCAACGATCTTATCCGTCGAGGGCATTCTGGGGTATATAGGGATACCCCTATTTTGGAAAATGCCATAATTATGGGGACTTCTGCGCATTTGTCTTCGGGCAGAATCTGCGCTGGGCTCCACCCGGCACAGCTGGTCCAGCTGAATTTCTCTCGGGACCCTTTTTGGCCCAAAGTGTGTTTTTTGCTTCGGGGCGTTCCCCTAGATGCCTTCAAGGGTCTTCAGGGTTTTGAGGGGACTCTTACCACGTCTGAACCTGCTCAGGGATGGTGTAGGGTTTTGGATGGTTTCATCTATACTCCCTTACAACCTTAATAAAAGATTTTTAATACCCTCTTAGGTTTTATATGAACAAAATAGACAATAATTCCCAAGGAGGATATAGTCATTGCAACAGAGGCAGCGCCAGCTTCTTTGGGGCCTCTACGACCCGAAACCCTAAACCCTAAACCCTAAACCCTAAACCCTAAACCCTAAACCCTAAACCCAGCATCCCACTCCTGGGATCCGTGGGACTTTCCTACCACACGACTTGGGAAGGCCTTGGTCTCTGCTGGTGCAACCCCAAACCCTGCAAAATAGCTGCGTTTAGGGTTTAGGGTTTAGGGTTTACGGTTTAGGGTTTAGGGTTTCGGGCTTAGGGTTTAGGGCTTAGGGCTTAGGGCTTAGGGCTTAGGGTCTTGGGTTTAGGGCTTAGGGCTTAGGGCCCCCAAACTGACGGAAACTGATGGGGAATTGGTGGCTGTTCTATCATATGGTACCTCGTATCCAGTGGATTAAAGGAGCCCGCGCAAGGTATCGAACTGGGAACCCTAAACCCTAAACCCCAAATGCTGACCCTGATCCAGGTAAACTTGGCGACCTCCCCTCGACATAGTCCGGCTGCGCCATCTTCTCTCAGAGGGCCTTGGTTTTAGGGTTTAGGGTTTAGGGTTTAGGATTTAGGATTTAGGCCTTGGTGAGGACTTCCGGGGCTTTTGCTCCGAGGGCTCAATGGGGAGTTGTGGGGGGGGTGGAATGGGATTATATCGGGCTTACCGAAACCCCGCCCCAACTACCGCCGGCTCACCGAAATTGAAGCCCGAAACCCTAAACCCACATGGCTTTAGGATCTTGGATCCCACTGCTGCCTGGGGATCTCCCCAACTCAGGGTGCCTGCTTCGGGGATCCTTACAGAGAGGATTACAGCTCAATACCTGTGGGGGAAAATACCGCCATAGGCTTCCGCACACGTTCGAGCCTCCCATGTTTCTGAGCACTGCGTGCTGCGCGGCTGTAACAGGTTTCAGGGTTTCGGGCTTAGGCTCGCCCCCCCACCCCCCACAGCCCCCAACCCCCACCCCCCCCCCCCCCCAAAAAAAAAAAAAATGTAAAAACACACACAATCATGTCTGGACTCCAAACTCTCGAACACAGTGACGGGATTTTATTCTTCCGTGTCCAGCCCCCTCATCCCTGAAACCGCCACCCGTAACCAATTAACCCTAAACCCTAAACCCTAAACCCTAAACCCTAAACCCTAAACCCTAAACCCTAAACGAAACCAGGAGATCAGGATTTTCCTTCCCAAGCTGCCATGCTCTGCAGCAGCTCGGCAACCTGCATGCATGGAAGCTTGGTTGGGGGATGAGAAGAACCGATGTCATTTTTTGTGCAATTTGGCCAGTTCTCAAACTGATGGTCCATTTTGGGTACCCTAAATATTAATAGAGGCCGCCTTAGAAAACCAAAACCCACAAGGGACTACAGCGATGATCATCGGGAAAGCTTTGGAATCTTGTAGGTTCCTCCACTACACACCCCTGTTGACTGCTGGCTGGACATCCACAGCTTCATCACGGACCAGGAAGGACTTGGGTACAAAATAGGGGGTACCCCTTTTATACCCCAAATAGAGTAGAGTCCCCCGAAAGGGGCCCCCAAAAGGATTTTCCCCCTAAACCCTAAACCCTAAACCCTAAACGCTAAACCCTAAACCCTAAACCCTAAACCCTAAACCCTAAACCCTAAACCTCATTTCCGGGAAAACCCCCACATGGAGATCGTGCAGCTTGCCTTGGCCGGCTGCGGCAAGCAACCGTTGACTCCGAGCTTCGGCCAAGAGCACGGTTCTTATCTATCCAGTTACCCTAAACCCTAAACCCTAAACCCTGAATCTTAACTGGTGCTGGGTCTCTCGACTCCGGATCACGCTGCATGCTTCGGCTTGAGATGTGGGGTGAAACCAACTAAAGCACTCTTTGAGCCAAGGAATGTGCGGCCATGCTCTTCATCGCCACCATGGCATCATCCAGGACTTAACTGGTGCGTAAAAACACGATACTCGCGAACCCGCCCCGTCCATGTGGGTCGTAAGCCCTACACCCTGCAGCGTGAATTTGTCGCGCCTGGGTGAAGCGCTGAGATGTAGTTCTCAAAAACCGAGTACTGCAGTGTCGCCTCTGGACACAGGGCCAGCCCATGAAGAAGCATTAGCGGGTTGAGGTTTTGCTGTAGGTTTTTAGGGTGTGCTCAGCAAAAGCGTGCAATGGAAGGCCACGTCAAGGGATACGTGATCCGCAAGAACGAAACTCTGCCTTCAAAGGGCTACAGGAGGATTCATAGGAAGCGACCTTTTGGGGTCCGAGTTTTTGCCCGAAACCCTAAACCCAAACCCGAAACCCTAAACCCTAATGAAACTGAAGGGAGGTTGTGGCTTGGTCCTGGGAGTACGGGTCCTGCACTCATAGGAGGCTTGGAAGGTTTTTGTGAAGGAGGAAGCTCTGCAGCCCCTATAACCCGCGAGAGTTCCAGGGTCTAGGGTAACCAAGTAACCTCAAAATGGTTGAGGAACTTCGGAGATCTTCGAACTGAGACGTTACGAGTTCCCTGAACTTACGCCCAACATGACTCGAGGCCGGCAACCTCCAATCCTAGACTTTATGCCCTGAGCCGGCTTGGGGTCGAGGCTTTTAGGGCTTGGTGTTTGGGGCTTAGAGTTTCGGGGCTTCTTCGATCCGTCTTCTGTAACTGAAGCTGCAATACGCAGCATCTGCTCAGAGACCGGGACTCTTGCGAGCTCTGTCTCAGAGGCTTACGCTTGTAGGGTTTGGGGGGCTTAAGGGTTGGTGGTCTAACTAGAGTCAAAGTCTTAAGTCTTCGGGCCTGAGGGGGGGCGGGCCTTCTTGACGGTCTCTGCATCCACGGCGCGGCCGTTCGCATCGCGCTCCATCCTTGGGGTCTGGCGCGCAGGGAAGGGAAGGGGGGGAGGGGAGGGGGAAGGGGAGTGTGCGGGCCTTGGGTCAGCTCGAAACCCTAAACCCTAAACTTTATGGGTCATGCACCTGGCCACCTGGCTGAGGCTGAGGCGTATCCAACGTGAAGCGGGTGAGGTAAAAAAACGCCTCAGCATGCAAATTGTCCAGAAACTGTAGCTTCAGCAACCCGACCGAAACAAGACTCTTGCAGGGCCTCGGGTTTGGGTGCGGAAAAAACCGTAACCTTTGCGCCCATGGAAAAAGGGGAGATCGGTACCATAACTGTCAGGGGATAAACCCTTAAGGTGCGGACGGGGGGCTACTCTAGGCTCAAGGAAGCTCTTGGTCCCTGGCAGCTGGCACACCCATGAGGCACACGCGCGCCTGCACTCAGGTCGTGCTCATGTCTGATCACCCTTCTGCAATCCGGCTCGACGTGGCCGTTGTTCCGACCTTGCCCCCTGAACAGTTTTCATAATGCGATAGAAATCCCAATATAGAACAACCCCCAAATAGCCTGGATGGCTTGGAAATCTGACATCCTGACCCAAGCCGGCCTCCTCGTCATAATGGTTGGAGTTGCCCGTGCCAAGATTGTTCAGCACCGTGAAAACTGCGTCCATGTTGGCTGGGTACCTGCCATACTCATCAGGCTAACACAATCTAACACAGCTTGCATCAGAGGGCGCAGCACCCGAATGCAAGGCGGCAGAACGGAGTTTGGAGCAACTGCTGGCGGAACCAAGGCCAATCCACGCGACGGTCACCTAAGCATCGTCATGATACCATGGGCTTATAAGGTCATGTATCCAAAAGGACGGTGGTCGCAGCTCACGCAATCACCTGTTTGACAGACCTCTGCAAAGCTCGTCTCACGAAGAACCTCTGTTACAGGCGACACAAGAAGAGATGACCCAGACAACAGCCGGGCAACGAATCCTCCGTAACGTGGCACGTCGCACGTCTGGGCCGGACATGTTGCAAGCCAAAAGTATTGCCACGCTTAGTCAGTCAGTCCTTTAGTTGCCGGTCCCCCCCTCCCCCACCCCCCAAAAAATGATCCTCGCGAAGGGGAACCCAACCCTCTGAGCTCCGCACGCTCGTCGACCAGGTTGGAGCAATCGAGATACTTCCATGCCAGCCTCTTCTCCTCTCGCTGCCCGCAACGCAAGTCTTCTCTCTGCAAAGCCCTCGTGTCGAAGAGATGCAACTTGGGCGGATGGGCTGCCGATCCTGCTCATCCGGATCCATGATGCCCCATGCCAGCCATCCGAGAAGCGCAGCGCGCTGCAGCGCAACTCTGGCAGAAGCCTCAGGCGTGGCGCAATCTCTGAAGGGCCACGTCCAAAAGCGCCCGTGCTGCCTCGAAAGCATATATGCGAAGCTCTAGAGTCTGGCTGCTCTAGCTTCTGGATTCTAGGCAAACGGCCATTTCTCGCGCTTCGATCAGGTCGCCCAGCACAGGGGAAGCGCCTGCACTGGATCTGTGCTTCCCATATCTGTGCGTTGTCAAAGAAAAGGTGACCCAACAAAGAAACGCCCTCCCAAATGGATGTACACCCCACCCCCAATACCAAACGCCCCCCAACAATTGATGTTCGCATGAGTCGCGCCTTGTGAATATGGTCAGTTCTCTAGATTAGGGTACCTTATTTGGGCACCCTACATAATAGGGGCCGCCTTATAGTGAGGACCTCAAAATGGACCATGTTTTCGAGAAATGACCATATATTCTTATATGCTAATTCTTATATGCTAATTATAATGCAACGAGAATACTGAACTTTCAGGGGGGGTCGTGATTGCGACCTTTGCAACTGGACTCTAGGCACTTGGGACTCTCCCTAGATGACCCTGAGCTCCCTCCTTCAGCCCACAGGCACCTGCCTGCGCGAGGAAGTGGGGGGGAGAGTTTTTAGTCGGTACAAGAGGCACCCTGTCGTTACAACTCCTGTAAACAGGACCTCCAAAAAGGGCCCTTATAACAACACCAAGAACGCGGTTGCGCAGTACAGTTCTGTATGGAAGCACAAGCCCAGCATCCGCAGCTTAGTTCTGGGGAGGCTTGCGGGTGTGCGTTGCGCCTCCGCCTCTGGACGCCACGGAATCATGGCCAAGGGCTTTGGCTTTGCGTGCAAGATGTCAAGCACACAATTATGGGTGGGTGATGAGGTAACTCTGGGGTGAGCTAAGCAGCCTGCTTTAGGTGTGAGGCTTTGGCATTAGCCGAACTAGCCGAAGTGCCGTGACAGATATATGACAGGTGCCGATGCTTGATGTCTGCTCCCGTGTAATTACCACCTAAACACCCCCAGATGCGGGTAGTCCTGCAACCGGTATTGACGTGCCTGTTGCTGCTCGGAATAAGGATAACCTTCTGTGAGTTCAAGGGTGTCGAACTGCCTGCGGACCGCAGGTGCTGACGAGCCCTGAAGCGGCATCGGCGTGGACGGATTTCTGCATCTGCACGCAGACACCGTGGACGCCGCTGAGGCACCCGTAAAGTACCATTGGGTATTGGGTGTCCACAATGGGTTGCAAGTCTGCAAAGTTTCCGACCGTTTCCACAAAAGCTGCACCCTGCAGTTAAGTTGGCATCGGGAAGCATGGCCAACTTCCAAGGCATGGGCGCTTCCTGCTCCTGGCGAAACGGCGTCGCTTCGAGACAGAGAGCGGGAAAGGGAAGAAAAACAGAGTGTATTGATTATAGGGTTCTTCAGGGAGGGGGGTTCATGGGAGGGGGGGGGGGGGGGGGTAGGTACCTGGATCAACTTGGTTTTAGGTATTCGAGTTTAGGGTACAGGGTTTAGGGTTTAGGGTTTAGGGTTTAGGGTTTAGGGTTTAGCGTTTAGGGTTTAGGGTTTAGGGTTTAGGGTTTACCCCATACTCTGAACTTCCCCTCTGCTTGGGACAACACAAAAAAATCGTCACAAGAGCGGGACGCGCAGCCCTGAACCCTACAAGCTGAGCCCACAAGAAACGCCCAGCCCTAGAATCCTCAAGCCTCAACTCTAAACCCTGAACCCTCAACCCTAAACACTAAACCCTGAAACCCTGAAACCCTGAAACCCGAAACCCTGAAACCCTAAACCATAAACCCTGAACCTTGAAACCCTAAACCCTAACCCTGAACCCTAAACCCTGAAACCCTGAAACCCTTCAAACCCTGAACGCTGAGACCCTAAACCCCAATCCCCAAACCCTAAACCCTGAAACCCTGAGACCCTAAAACCTTGAAACCCTAAACCCTAAACCCCTCAGACCCTCTTCTCCTGGAGGCGGAGGCCCAGCTCCTCAGCTCGCCGCTCGGCCTCGGCTTGACAGGTTTCTTGGAAACTTGGGGGGTTCGTTTAGGGTTTAGGGTGTAGGGTTTAGGGTTTAGGGTTTGGGGTTTGGGGTTTGGGGTTTGGGGTTTGGGGCTTGGGGTTTGGGGTTTGGGGTTTGGGGTTTGGGGTCTCAGGGTTTAGGGTTAGGGTTCAGGGTTTAGGGTTGGAATTTGACCTTGATGTTGTTTAAGACTTTCGGATCCCAGGGCTGTGGTTTCGGAGTTTTTTAGGGTCGCAGGGCTTGGTTATTGGGATCTGGAGGTTGCAGGGATGTGGAAAGAAGAGAGCCCGCTGAGATGCAGGCTGACAATATGCACACCTCCTCTTGAAGCCCGCTTCTTGTGCTTAAGACAGCACTGTTCGCTTCCATCAACAAACTTAGCATCCGGCGGATTCCGGTCAATGCTAGGCCCTAGACGATGAAGGGCTCAGGGTCCCGAAACCCTAAACCCTAACCCCTAAGCCCTAAACCCTAAACCCCAAACCCTAAACCCTAAACCCTGAACCCGAATTGCTTCCTGAGGCTGCCCACTTTGGCGGCGCGCTGTCGCTCCTTTGCCAGGCCGTCCTCTGAGCTTAGCTGTTTGGACGTCTGTATTCGTAAGGGGCTTAGGGTTTAGGGTTTAGGGTTTAGGGTTGAAGGGTTTATGTGCTTAATTCGTAAGGGGTTCGGGTTTAGGGGTTCAGGTTTAGTGTTTAAGGGTTTGTTGTGGTTTAGGGGCTCTGGTATGGAGGTTTGAGGGTTTAGGGGTTCAGGCTTGGGGGTTCAGGGTTTTTGGTGGTTGTTGGGGCTTAGGGGCGTTAGGGCTTGTAAGGTTTAGGGGCTCTCCAGAAAGCAACTCTCCGCCTAGTACGCAGGTTGGCCTGCAAACCCCCGTCCTCGAGCTGCCGCAGCTCTTCTCTTAGAGAGTCCCGCGCTTCAGCTGCATCCACCCGCCTCGCTGCAGAGTCACTCTAAGACTCTCAGGGTTAAGGGTTCAGGCTTCAGGGTTCAGGGTTCAGGGTTTAGGGTTTAGGGTTTGGGGTTCAGGGTTTAGGGTTTAGGGTTTAGGGTGTAGGGTGTAGGGTTTAGGGTTTAGGGTTTAGGGTTCGAAAGGCAGCACTCAAGCAAGGCTCAGATTGACCTCTGTGCCCCAGGCAATTTCTCGCTCTCCCCGTACCGGCTCCGCAGGCGGTCACGCTCGGCCTGCACCACGTGCGCTCACAGCGTCTCCCTCTCCCAGAGAAGGACCCCTTGACACGAAGCACATTTAGGGTTTAGGGTTTAGGGTTTAGGGTTTAGGGTTTAGGGTTTAGGGTTTAGGGTTTAGGGTTTAGGGTTTAGGGTTTAGGGTTTAGGGTTTAGGGTTTAGGGTTTAGGCTTTGGTTTAGGATTGAGGGCTTTGGGTCCTACACCCGGCTGCTACCCGCCTCTAGGTCCTGGAGCTCGCGTTGCAGAGTACGGTCGGTCGACACGCGCGCCCGCGCGTTTTGGAGCTCTTCTCCTGCTCGTTTTTGTGAAACCCATCTCCTAAGGCAGCGCAGCTGTTCCACCTACCGCCATCTGCCAACTGGAACGGCAAAGGGATATTGCCTGGAATGTAATGCCCGATGCTTCGGGGCCTTCAGGGATGTTTACACTACATTCACATAAGGTAAGTCACCCTTACATCTCGCAACAGGGAAAACGTATCCGATTTATTGGATATCATTTGCTGAATTTAGACTGAAGGCAAAGGGCTAACTTCGTGAATCCTAAACACTAGGTTGTACTCCCGGGTCAGAGCTCCAAACAGTTGAGTCGTCTGTTGGGGTCTTTGTCTTGCTACGGCCCCTTAGATATCAGGGTACCTGAAGAGGGACAGCGAGAGCATGTCAATTCAGGTCTTTTGGCGTTTTCAGGATTGACGGTTCAGGGTTTAGGGTTTTGGGGTTTTAGGGGTTTGGGGTTTTAGTGATCGGCTTGGGGTTTAGGATTAAGGGGCCCTAAAAACGCACACTGGGGGGTGGAGCCCCAAAATAAGGAGTAGTAGGCTGGGCTTCCCGCGGAGACCATCGCACCTGAACCAAGGAAGTGGCATGGCGGCACGCCCTAAGTGCCTAAACCGCCTAAACCCTTAAACCCTCAACCCTGAACCCTCAGTTCAGGACCACATTGGCACCATGAGCTTTCAGGTTTGGAGCAGCCCCCGGCTTCACCTGCGAAGCCCGGATTCGCTGAGGTCTGGACTGGCTCTGTACACTGGCGATCCTTGGCACATCACCAGAAGTGCGGGAACCACAACCACGCTGTGTTTTTTTCTGTAGTCCTGATTTTAGATTGTGATGGGCGTTGCTGCAATTTTAGGTCCCTGCTCATTTTGGGCGAAGGCAAGGGGAAGAGGGACGGGGGGGGTCTTTGCAAACTGAAGGGAACAACGGCCTAAACCCTAAAACGCACAATCGCCCTAAACCCAGTAAGTCTCTAAGCCACCTCAAGCCCTGGGAACCCCCCTCAAACCCCCCCCCCCCCCAAAAGCTCCTAAATCCTCGAAATCCCGGAGCCCCATTTAACAAAACAAAGGCTGCCAGGCCACCGATCCTCGAGGCGCGAACGATCAGCCTGGCCGACGCGATTCGGCTTGGGCAGCAGGGCTCAGGGTTTAGGAATCAGGGTGGGTTTAGGTGTCAAGGGCTTTGTGGGTTTTTATAGTTTTGTGAAACGCTAAACCCGAAAAAAGGAGGAAGCAGATGCTCCGCGCCTCGTTGTGCTGGAGTTTGCTCTGAGCCTGGAGAGAGGGCTTGGACCGTTCAGGCCACCAAAAAAGCCAAACCCGAAGCCCCCAAACTCCCCAAAACTCGCAGTCGGAATGAGGGTCCCGATTCCAGCCCCTCCAAAAACCCCCAACCCCCCCCCCCCCCGCCTCCCCCCAAAAAACCCTAAACCCCAAACCCTAAACCCTAAACCCTAAACCCTAAACCCTAAAACCTCAACCCTAAACCCTAAACCCTAAACCCTAAACCCTAAACCCTAAACCCTAAACCCTAAACCCTAAACAAAAAAAGCAGCGGACTCACCCAGCTGCAGCTCCGCCTCCTGCTCCCGGGCCTGGACCAAGGCCAGCTGGGCCTCGCAGCTCTCGAGACCCTCCGCAAAAGAGCCCTTTCTGGGATGGCTTGAGAGGCTCTTAGGGGTGTCAGGATGTGTAAGGTTTGCTTTTTGCTTTTATGTTCTTGTGGGGGGGTGCGTTCTCCTCAAAGGAGGCACAAGTCTTCTAAGGACGAGGTCGTCACAAAAAGCTAAGCCTTTCAACGTCAGTCTCGCTGACCTCCGCGCACGGCGCACAGAAGACAGACACGCTATCGCTTTTCCACACTGGCGCGCAACAGAGGCGGTCAGGACCAGCGTGTGGCCAGGCTTTCTGCTCGGTGTTCCAACGAAGGCTCAGGTAGGTTGGGGCATCGGGATACTCGGGCTACCTGTAGCCCACCATCGCAGGGCGAAGCACGCCCTTGCCGCCCACAGGCAAGCCGTCTTTCAGCGCAGGAGAATCGCCTCCGAGCAGGACGGAAAGGGTTTAGAAGCCAACAGGCGCCATGCACCCTCCAACCTTCGCCTCTAAAGCCTCTCAAGCATCAAACCCTTCTGGCGCCTTTGCCCTTGCCCTTGCCCTCCAGGCCCTTGCCGGTAGCCAGGCCCATGCGTCTCCAAAATCCTGGCTCCTCCTGCAGAGGCCCAAAAAGAAGCCCAGCAACCCCAGCAGCCGCAGCCAACACCAAAACCCACTCCTCTACTGGCCGGTGGAAACCGAGCTTCTCCCAATCCACCTGTGGCAGGCTGTGGCTCTTTAACTAGGGCTTTGGGGTGAGGCCTCCAATCTCTGTGAGACTGGAATCTGCGAAAGCTTTGGGGATTCGGCGTTAGGCTAGCGCAACACGGCATGTCCGTGGCGGGCACCCTTTTGGAAAGCCTTGAAAAAGTACACAAGGTGGCACCTTGCCGGTGAGGCCACCGTCGTCGCCCCCGCGCCGCGCGACGCCCTCGGGCCTCGGAAAGGCGATCGGAGGTGGTGACGCTGACAGATGTTGGGGGGGTGGGCTGCAGTAGGGTTTAGGGCGACAGGGCGTAGAGTCTGGTTTAAGGATGGTTTGAAGGGTTCATACAGGAATACAGAGGATCAGGATGTCCAATGAAATGAAGAAGGCAGCGCAGGAGGTCGGGCGAGAACGGCAGCAAAATGCCAAAACAAACACGAGCAGCTGGTTTTTTGACTTCCTGGGTGTGCAACCCAGAGCTGTAAGCCCGCCCCTGCACCATCTCAAACCACCCTGCACCATCAAACCACCCCTGAAAAATCCTCGGCCATCCTATAGCACTTTAACTATCCACAAAACATCCTTAGCCAGACTCTGCCACCCTCAACCACCCTGAGCCAACAGCAGTGGAGTGGGATCGCCGAAGCCCTGTGGGACAGAGCCTTCGCCGGTCGAGGGAATCAGGGTCTCAGCTTGGGACGTCCGGAGCTGATTTGATTCGATCTCAGGGTTTGGACCCCCGGAGTTTCGGAGCCAGAGAACCGCAGCAAGGGATGCTAAGTGCTGCATGCGAAGATGAAACTTCAGAACCCCAAGCCAGGGTCCTAGGGTTTAGGGTTTAGGGTTTAGGGTTTGGGGTTTAGGGTTTAGGGTTTGGGGTTTAGGGTTTAGGGTTTCGGGTTTGGGGTTTAGGGTTTAGGGTCCTAAGGCTCTGCGGCTTCAGGTTTCGAAGGTTTCGGATTTCGGGAAGGCACCTGGCTGGATCACGCGGCCGCCAGGTCCTCGAATCTTGTTGAGGATCTTGCGGCACCTCGGGTGCCGAACTTGGGGTGCCTCTTAGGGTTTGGGGTTTCAAGTTCAGAGTTTAGGGTTTAGGGTTTAGGGTTTGGGGTTTGGGGTTTAGGGTTTAGGGTTTAGGGTTTAGGGTTTAGGGTTTAGGGTTTAGGGTTTAGGGTTTAGGGTTTAGGGTTTAGGGGGGATTTGGGAAAATGTCATGAGCGTGCATGGTGCCTCGGTGTAGACGTAGGGTTTGCAGGGATTCCGGTGTGTTGGGCTTGCTGGACATATTATGTGCGGGCGTTCGCCGGACTCTTTTTCTTCTTTATGTTGTCCAGCATTTTGCACGCATACTAAAAGCCCAAAGAAAACAAAAAAAAGTTAGGAAGCGCGCAAATCTACTATACTTTAGAGGCTTTTTCTGCGCTCGCCCTTCAATTCTAATAACAATATATTTTTTTGCTGCTAGTCTGTCATGAATTATATTCACTTAAAAAATTGTGCCCCTTGATGGTACTTTTACCGGGGCACTAAAGAAGCCTAATCAAAGACCCCCAAATTACCTTTCTTGAAACGTGGTCTTTTGCCCGTATAATATCATATTTGAGTAGAATTATGACAGGCCTATCACTGGACAAAAACTGTCATCATAAAGGCTGAGGAATTCATTATCTGGATTCATCTTTGGAATCTCCCGAACATGAATATGGTGGCTTACAAGATTCGGGTACCTTATTGGGGTCCTGATGATAAGGGGATCCTGCTATTTGGGGATCCACTTGGGGGGGGGTCCCTGATTATCCTAAACCCCCACATCAGTCCTTGTGAGAACAGATTTCCACCCAGCTCTTGGCGCTGCACTCGTCGTGGGCATCGCGGGTCATTTGCGGCAGCGCCTCGCGCCGTTCTTTCCGGTTTAGGGTTTAGGGTTTAGGGTTTAGGGTTTAGGGTTTAGGGTTTAGGGTTTAGGGTTTAGGGTTTAGGGTTTAGGGTTTAGGGTTTAGGGTTTAGGGGGTACTTTTTTTATGCAACTTGCACACCGTAGGGCGGGTAGGAGCCAAAACACCCCAATCCCTAAACCCAAACATCCCGAAACCAAGAAAAGCTGTCAGTCCCCTCTTGACTCCTACACTTCGAAGTACAAACCCTGCGACCCCCCATGATGGATCCCCAAATAGTAGGATCCCCTTTTTTTATCAGGACCCCGAAAAGGTACCCCCGTGATGGCAGCCCCCCCCCCCCCCCCCCCGACCCGCCTTGGAAGCGCTGCTGAAGGCAGCTTGGAAAAACCGCTCGGCCCGTACCTTGGGTGTATGGGTTTAGGGTTTAGGGTTTAGGGTTTAGGGTGTCGGGCTCAGCTCTCAAGAGGGCATTTTTGGGACTTACAGTGGGATTCGGGGCTTTTTTGGGGTATAAGAGGGGCTCAGGGTTCAGCAGCTTGGGATTTCTCTGCTGGCTAAGGGTGTACAATTGGGCTGAGGGCTCAGGGCTTCGCAGTTGAGGCTTTGACCTCAGGGGCTTGTGGCTGTAAGGGTAGTGACATGGTCCCTTCATATGGGGGCCCTCAGAAGGGGACCCCAGAAGTACCCAAATTTGTACCTTGTACACTTTAAGGGCCCTTACCATCGGAACCCTTTACGGGAGGTTGGGGACTTTTCTCTACCCTTAGAGTGGCCAAGGGCCCTGCGCCCTTATGAAGCTTGGAGATGGAGGCCATCTCCTGCACCACTGCAGAAGGACCCGCGTTTAGGGTTTAGGGTTTAGGGTTTAGGGTTTAGGGTTTAGGGTTTAGGGTTTAGGGTTTAGGGTTTAGGGTTTAGGGTTTAGGGTTTAGGGTTTAGAGTTCAGGATTTAGGGCTCAGGGTGTCCACTCTCATGGTTGGCAGCCATGGCTCTTCGACCTGACCCGAAACCCTGCCGCGCAGCCCGCAAAAACCCGAAACCCCAAACCTCAAAACCCCCTAAACCCTAAACCCCACACCTCAAAAACCCTCAACCCCAAACCCTCAAAATCCCCAAGCCTCCGACAAGCAAACCTCAAAAACCCTAAAAAACCCAAACCTCAAAAACCCTACTTCCCTCACCAGGGGCCAGCCTGCCTCGACGGTGAGCCTAAAGTGGAACAGCTTTGTGTTCTCCAGAATGTGGTTGGGATTCCAGCCTCATCGTCTTGCATCGTCTTGCCGGGAATGAGGGAATCAGGTACCTTGTATCCTCTTATATGAAAATGTATATACACATATATATATATATATATACATATATATGTATATATATGCATATATATATATATATATATATACATACAGTATATGTATATTCCCCTTTTAAGGGATTTGCATTATACTCCCATAGTCCCCTAAGGGGTGTGTGTGTGTGTGTGTGTGTGTATATATATATATATACCTGTATGTATCTGTGAGGGGGTTTGAGGAACCATCTGGGGCACCTCTAATTCCCACCAAGAACCAGTAGGTCGTAGCAGCGTGGACTCACACCGTGCGGAAGCGGGTTTCGGCTTCAGGGTTTTAGCGTGGCTAGGGTTTTAGGGCTGGGATGTTTGAGGACGGTCTAGGGTTTTACGGTTTTGGGATTTAAGTTAGGCTGTGGGGCTTTGGTGCTTCAGATTTGGGAAGTGTCTATTACTTTATTCTTATTATCACTTTATATCTATATATATATATATATGTTTATTTATGTTATATTCCATTATATTATATTATACTATACTATATATATATATATATGGTTCTGTAAATGTTTGGGGGGAAGGGGGGTTGACGATCCCTCTTGCTGTTTTGGGGGGAGCCCTGGATCTGTGGCCGCCGCTCTTCGGGATGACGCAGTGGCCGCGCTGGAGGTTCCAGCGCAGGGCCACCTTTTCCCGAGAGATTGAGAACTGGCGGCCCCAAAAGAACCAACCCCAAACCCTAAACCCTAAACCCCAAACCCTAAACCCCAAACCCTAAACCCTAAACCCCAAACCCTAAACCCCAAACCCTAAACCCCAAACCCTAAACCCTAGCCCTAAACCCCAAATGCTACTGGAGAGAACTGGCAGGTTGCGTTCGACTAGTGGAAGCCGGACTCTTACGTCACTTCCTGATGATCAGGGTGTATGACGGTATGTCACTGCATGAAAAGGATCACAGGGAAACCCGAGACCGGCTCCCGACCTGAGCCGGCGTAACATCGTAGCGCTTCGCGATGCTTTGCAAGAGGTGAAGCTCTGAGACCTGGTGGGGAGACATACGGCAATCCTAGTGTTTACAGCGACATACTCCGTGCAAGTTTTAAGCAACTGCCACACGAAGCCACAGTTGCAGAGCACGGGGCTCGGAGTGTGCAACAGGGATGCTTCATGAGAAACAACGCTGTGGTAATCCCTTTTCCGGGCCTTCAGCAAGGGTCTCATTTCTCGAGCATCCGATTTTGTGAGCACCTGCAAAGCCGAGTTTCTATCGCAGTCAGCTACTCTGGTATCTCCAGAATGTCCAGTAATTCTGAAGAGAACACCCTGAACCCTAAATCCTAAACCCTAAACCCTAAACCCCAAACCCCAAACCCTAAACCCCAAGCAGCACCATAAGTTTGACCCTAAGGGCCTTGAGGTAGGCCTCCACTTTATGGGGTGCGCCCAGGGGCGAGTAGGCAAGGACCTCGCATGGCGGGCTCAGGGTTGTCGAGGAAGGAGTGAAGGGTTCAGGGTTTAGGGTTTAGGGTTTGGGGTTTGGGGTTTAGGATTTAGGGTTTAGGGTTTGGGGTTTAGGGTTTAGGGTTTGGGGTTTAGGGTTTAGGGCAGTTTAGGGTTTAGGGTTTAGGGTTTGGGGTTTAGGGTTTAGGGTTTAGGGTTCAATTTGTTTGCAGATCGCTGTGGGGCTTGGGGTTCGGGCTTTGGGTTTGGGGTTCAGGTCTTAGGGTTTAGGGTCTAGAGTTCAGGGCATAGTGGCCACATCAATCTGTCGGCGACGGCAACTTCGGACGGATGCTGCCCCCTGGAAGAAGTGAAGATGGCCAGCGCCCCCAACACAAGCACAAGAAGTGATAGCTCTCCAAAGGAGGGGATACCCTTACAATACACCCCCAAAATACTCATATCCTTTCTCTAAGACTCTGGCCCTCCCCGATCTCCGGAAACCTCCGACTCGGATCCTGCCTGAATCCCCATGCTCTGGCACAAGTCGGACATCTCTTCGTTGGTGTTCAACGGATGGACCTTCCAAGGGCATCAGGGATAAGAAAAGGGTCTGCTATCTAAATCCTGGGCATCTATACTACAAACGGGGAAATAGAGACCCCGAGAAGGCCCATAGTTTAGGTCAACCCTGTCCTTCCCACAGCTTTCTTGGATTTAGGGCTTTTGGTTGCGGCGGATTAGGGCTTAGTTAGGGTTAAACCATAGGCCCTAAACCCTAAGCCCTAAACCCTAAACCCTCGGGCATGGGGCCTCCATTGCCAGCACGGCAGGCGGCATTTTGACGCCCGCCAGGAACTTCCGGAAGACCTCCACGCAGACCTGCAGGGAACCTATTTGGGATGTTCCCCCATCTACTAACAGCGCCTAAATAGGGATTGGGGTTTAGGGTTTAGGGTTTAGGGTTTAGGGTTTAGGGTTTACGGTTTAGGGTTTAGGGTTTAGGGTTTAGGGTTTAGGGTTTAGGGTTTAGGGTTTAGGGTTTAGGGTTTAGGGTTTAGGGTTTAGGGTTTAGGGTTTAGGGTTTAGGGTTTAGGGTTTAGGGTTTAGGGTTTAGGGTTTAGGGTTTAAGGGTTTAGGGTTTAGGGTTTAGGGTTTAGGGTTTAGGGTTTAGGGTTTAGGGTTTAGGGTTTAGGGTTTAGGGTTTAGGGTTTAGGGTTTAGGGATGATAGTACCCGAATTATAGTCCCTATTAAGGACTGTCAGCACAAGGGTCCCTCAATTGCCGAAACGCTAAGCCCGAAAAGGGAACCCGAAAAATTTAGAAAAGCTTGGCAGACTTTGGCTTTGCTTTCGAAGCCCATTGGCTTGCAGGGTTTAGGGAGGGTTCAGAGCTTAGGGTTTAGGGTTTAGGGTTTAGGGTTTAGGGTTTAGGGTTTAGGGTTTAGGGCTTCAAGCAAATAGGGCTGTGAGGTCACGGTCCTCCCCCCGCCTTGGGACCCAACAGATCGAAGTTGGATACCCCAAGGAAGCGGGCGCGGCCTTCTCGCGCAACCTCAAGTGCAGACCCAGCTTGGGTCCCTTAAACCCTAAACCCTAAACCCCAAACCCTAAACCCTAACAAGGGATTCTGGTTGCATTGCGAAGGGTGCCTAAGTCGTATAAGGGGTCACGAACGTAGGACCACCCCGAAGCTTCGGGCATAGGGTTTCGGTTTTAAGGTTCAGGGTTCAGGGTTTAGGGTTTAGGGTTTAGGGTTTAGGGTTTCGGGTTTAGGGTTTAGGGTTTAGGGTTTAGGGCTAGAACTAACCGCCCGATTCCATTTTGTGAGATCTGGGCCGACGGCCTCCTCGATCCAAGGCCACGCGGCCGGGACCTGCCTCGGACCGGCTGGAGCTACACTGTTTTAATTGGAGTACACAACGTCATGGGCTGTTTACTTGAGGAGAAAACATAGATGTATAGGCACATCATATGTTTATATATATATATATATATATATACATATAAGTGTACATGCTATACTGTCTATTATCATAATATGAACCTTTGGTATCCATGTTTTTTTGTGTCAATCTGGGCAGTTCGCCTCTCGACCCGAAACCCTGAAAAAGCATCCCGTGCTTAGTAGGCCCAGCATCGGAGGTGCTCAGGGACTGCTCCCCTAAACCCTAAACCCTAAACCCTAAACCCCAAACCCTAAACCCCGAGGCACCGACTCCGGCGGGCAGTCCGCAATGAGGAGGTCCACACAATCCACCTTCAGCTCACCTGACAGCAGGGGCTTTCTACCAATTGCTTAAGAACCCCCCCCAAAAAAAAAAAAAAAAAAAACAAAAACAACAACAACAATCCTGCTTATAAGGGCAATGGGAAGATTTTCATTATTTTCTTTTTTGGGGGGTTCTTAAGCAAATAGTTATGAAGCAGGGCCCCACCCCACCTTAGCCCTCAGCCAAGAGGCTCAGGAGCATGTCGACCTCGCCCCGCACCTGCTCGCGGTCCTCGAAGCTTCGGGGCGTCAGGGGTTTAGGGTTTAGGTTTAGGGTTTAGGGTTTAGGGTTTAGGGTTTAGGGTTTAGGGTTTAGGGTTTAGGGTTTGTGGTTTAGGGTTTAGGGTTTAGGGTTTAGGGTTTAGGGTTTAGGGTTTAGGGTTTAGGGGCCTGGTGTAGTTGGGGATTCTCGTGCCCAGATTTCTCATGATCGTGGCCCGTACACCCTACGTCTTGTTCGGTGCGTTCGCGCCAGAACCCTGAACACCCCTCATCAGGCGCTGAAACACTCGGCCCCTAAACTCCCCCTAAACCATCCCCGGTTATGAAGCCCTAAACCCTAAACCCTAAACCACTGAGGGCCCAGGGTCCTTGACCTTGGAGATCCTGCCACACAGGAAGACGTCGCCACGAGTGAGCAGCTCCTGCTTCAGCGCCTGGAGAAGCTTGGGGGTTTTCAGAGCTTTGGTTTGTTATTTTGTCTTTTCTTTTTTTTTGGGGGTGGGTGGGGGGGGGGGGGGGTTTGGGAGCTTGGATGGTTTTGGGGGTTTGGGGTGGTTGGGGGGGGTTTGGCGTGGTTCTGGAGGGGTTTGGGTGAGGCTTCAGCGCAACCCAGAAGCCTTCAAGAAGCAACCTTTGCCCGCAAAGGCCCAGACTGCTTCCAACGCCCGGCCGACACTCTGCTGATTCATGTGACCTGGCACGGGACGCTTCAAAAAGGTTGGAGTAACCAGCAACCTGACCCGAGGTCCTAAACTTGCTGCCATGGCAAGATGCACAAGGTATTTCAAGACCGGAGGATAGCTTGCAAACGTGTCCCCAGCACGGTTGCTGCTGTCGATGAGCCTCACTCCAGCTGCAAGCGCTTCCTCGAGACCATGTCATGAAGGAAGTCCCTCGTGTCGGGGAGTCGCACGGGGATTGCGCTGAAAATGCTCAGAATTGCTTCAAGCCATTGAAAGCAAGAGACCATAAGAGTATCTCAACCACCTCCCTATGCATGTGAGCTCCTGCAACGCAGCTTGCGTCAGCTCATCAACCCGCCGGTAGTAGTCCTCCGCATCTGGAAGTGGAAATGGGTGCGCCGAAGTGACCCAGTCACCCTCCCATAGTCCGGCGAGAACACACCGAACCACAACCCTGTCTCCTCTCCCCTGTCTCGAAAACCTCACACTCTGCAGACACTCCGGAGCCCCCCTTGAGCTCTTCGAACTCCCGAGCTCTCGAGCCTCGAGTCCCTCGAGTCTCCAGTCTCAGCTCTCCTGGTCCGAGACACGCTCCGTCACATCCTCCGGCATGAAGTGGCCTCGCATTGTTACGGGGGTTTCGTTCGCTTCCAGGTGGAAGGCATGCATGTTCGACGCCCAACCATCAGACACCCGAGCCGCAGAAGCAGAAACTCTGGGCCGGCCACTGCCAAAGCCGATCACTGGCATCTCCTGGACTGTGTTCAGGACTGTCGCGAGCCACAGGCCCACCAATGACATGAAGCCAAAGGGCATGGCGCCTATGAGTTGCCGACTTAGTGGCTCCATGAACCCATGAACCACAATCGTTTTGGGGCTGGCGCTCACGACTTTGGGAAGCCCACCAGAACCACACACCCCTGAGTCTGAAACAATAAACCTCCACACGAGTCTGAAACAAGAAACCTCCACACCCTCAAACCGCCCGAGCCCTAAACCCTAAACCCTAAACCCTAAACCCGAAACCCTAGACCCCCTGAAGGTACCACGACATTTACTGCCCGACCTGGAGCCCCACGGCCGCCAGTGGCCTGGCAGGTTCCACTGGCAGCGAAAAGGCCGGGCTTAGAGGGCTACCAGGGGGGCGGTTTTTGTAGGGGTTATATAGGGGTTATATAGGGTTCTATACGGTTATGGTTGTGGGTTACTTGGGGTTAGGGGCGTTATGGGGGGGTTATGTGGGGGTTTCAGGGGGGTTATAAGAAAGGTTGTAGGAGGTTCTAGGGGGGTTATCGGAAGTTATGCCGCTGTACAGCTGCGTGTTTAGAGGGGTTGCAGGGCTACAGTGCATCTAGGGTCGGAGGGTTATAGGGCTAGTGACAGGCGGCCTTTGGGGTTTCTCTCATCTTTTGCACCAAAAAAAGGGACCCATAACTTAGAACAACAACCGAGATTCCAGCCTTCAAGCTGCCAATCCCTTGCCGGGCTTAGGGCCTAGGGCTTCGGGATGTTAGTGTTCAGGGGCTTAAGGCTCTTGGGGTTCGGGCTTTAAGGTTTAGGCTCTTAGGGTTCAGAATTTAAGGTTTAGGGTTAGGATTTAGGGTTTAGGGTTTCGGGGTTCATGGGCCATCATTTGAAAACCGTCCAAGAGCCTTGATGCCGCCAGGCTCGGCAGCGGGAAAGCCACCTGTCAATGCACAAGCAGCCTGAGGGTTTGGGGTTCAAGGCTAATGGCTGCGCTCAGCAGAGTATGGTCAATAACTACTGGTGGGTTGCAAAAGGGCAAAGCGAGAAGCTTGAAAGACGTCCCCACTTGAGTCTAAAGGAAGCTATGGTGTCAAGGTCTTGTTGCCTTATCGAATGAGAGCACGTCGGTATGATCGTATTCCAGTAGTCTAGCATTACAGTACTACATGTATAATACTTTAGCCATACACGTTCTGGCGTCCTAAGCCTAAACCCTAAACCCTAAACCCTAAACCCTAAACCCTAAACCCTAAACCCTAAACCCCAAATCCATTACAACTTGCAAAGAAAGTGCGCCACAAGGCCGCGCCTTGATGGCCTTGTGGTCTGAGAGGGGCGCATCCAGCTGGGCCTGCGCCGAAAAGGTCGAAAAAAGGCACCAACACACGGTTTCGGGCTTTAGGTTTAAGGTTTAGGAGTTGAGGTGTTTAGGGTTCAGGGTTCAGGGTTTAGGGTTTAAAGGGTTCAGGGTTCAGGGTTTAGGGTTTAGGGTGTGGGGTTTAGGGTTTAGGGTTTAGGGTTTAGGGTTTAGGGTTTAGGGTTTAGGGTTTAGGGTTTAGGGTTTAGGGTTTAGGGTTTAGGGTTCACAGACTCCCTTAAAGGATGTATGTACCAACCAGTAAGTTGAAGCCACTTCTCAGAGATTCCGATTGTGGTTCATATTTCTTTCCGTGATGTTGTTGGTGTATGACCATTCCTATTCTGGTTAGTATTGGTTATGAGTATGTCGATAAAACATGAACATTCCTGTTTTTGTTTACTCTTACCCTTTCTATCTAGAGCCCTCTCCTGTAAGGAAGACACAGCTCTGCTGCTCCTTCTTGCAAGGCAGCGAGAGGGGCCTCACCAATGATGTCGGCCGTAGCGAGGGCTTCCACCGATCGTGGGGACACCTAGGGTTTAGGGTTTAGGGTTTAGGGTTTAGGGTTTAGGGTTTAGGGTTTAGGGTTTAGGGTTTAGGGTTTAGGGTTTAGGGTTTAGGGTTTAGGGTTTAGGGTTTAGGGTTTAGGGTTTAGGGTTGGGGTTTAGGGTTTAGGGTTTGGGGTTTAGGGTTTAGGGTTTAGGGTTTAGGTTTAGGGTTTAGGGTTTGTGCCGCAGCCAGCACGCAGGGAGGAGAAAGCCACATCCACATGAGAACACGCTCAAGTCATCCAGGCCCAACGCTTTAACCCCAAACCCTACACCCACCCTAGGAACCCTAAGCCCACAAACCCTGAATCCTAAACCCTAAACCCTAAAACTCTAGAAACCCTAAAACCCTAAATCCATAAACCCATTAACCCTAAACCCTAAAAACCCGAAAAACCCTGAATCATGAACTCTCGAGATGATCCTATGTAGTTCGCACCTTCCGGCTCGTGGCCATGAAGTCTGCCAGATAGCCAAAGAGACCTGAGCATGTGGGGTTTTGGGTTTTGGGTTTAGGGCTTAGGGTTTAGGGCTTAGGGCTTAGGGTTTAGGGTTTAGGGCTTAGGGCTTAGGGTTTAGGGTTTAGGGTTTAGGGTTTAGGGTTTAGGGTTCCCAATGCTGGGATGTTCCGCCTTAATACTAACAGTCCTATAGAGGGATTCTAGTACCCCCTATTAGAATTCCTATTGAGGACTGTTTGTATAAGGGGAACATCCCAACCCCAATGTGTTGCTTGCACAACAGGTCAAGAAACATCTACACCTGTGCCAACTACTTGGTAAACGATGCATCTTAACGTTGAGCCCAGGGGCAACTGGCTGGGATGGTGTCCTTGTCGTATGCCAGGGACCACCCTACATCCTGTAAGGTTTGCAGCGGCGCCTGGATCAGGGCACGTCGACGCCACACTCTCCACACGAACAGCAAGCCTTGTCTGACACCTATACGAACAGTCCTTCATAGGGATTATAGTACCCCTATTATAGGGATTATAGTACCCCGATTAGAATCCCTACTAAGGACTGTTCGGTATAAGGGGAAGACGACCACGGCAGTGCCTCTGCTTGTTCCGGGTAGTCACTGCCGAATGGACCCGACCTGGTAGATGTTGGCGCGCGCGCAGGACGACTCCTCCCTCGACATACGGGGGTTTACGATATTAGGGGTACCTTCTTGGGGGTCCTTATTATGGGATCCTACTATTTGGGGGTCTATACTAGGGTCCCCTAGTTTCGTAAACCCCCGTACTGGCTTAGATACTGAGAGGCCGGCACCGCGCCGAAGTCCCCAACGATGATGCCCAAGTCTTCCTGTCAAGAGTGCTACGGCCCTTGCCTCTGAAACGCGTGACTCTGAGCTGACACGGGCTGCAAGATGAACTTAAGCAATGCGAAGTAGAGAGTGTCATAACCATGAGAAATAAGCATACTAAGCAGAAGTATGCGTAACAAGTTTAAAAAACCCATAACGCTGATGAATCGCAATCATCCTCATGTCTTCGTGGAGGCTTCGCGGAGACCGAGAAGATCCGAGAAGAATTGCCCTGGTGCTCAGTATACGGAAAGACGGAATTCGGTGCCTAATATCCCCCTATATATATATATATATATATATAAAAAAAAGCCCTTTAAGGGGTTCTCTAAGGTACCTAACTCCCGCATTCTCTGCTAAGAGCCCGTCAAAAAATCCAGATTCCCCGAGCCTCCTCCGAGCGGGAGGAGAAGAGGTCCACGGCGCGCGCGGCCTGCCGCCTCCTGGAGTTGATTCTTGGCATTTTTTCCTGCTGCTTGTGCGTCTGGGGTTCAGGGTTTAGGGTTTAGGGTGTAGGGTTTAGGGTTTAGGGTTTAGGGTTTAGGGTTTAGGGTTTAGGGTTCAGGGTTCAGGGTTCAGGGTTTAGGGTTTAGGGTTTAGGGTTTAGGGTTTAGGGTTTAGGGTTTAGGGTTTAGGGTTTAGGGTTTAGGGTTTAGGGTTTAGGGTTTAGGGCTAGTAAGTCTTCCTACATGATTCGGTGATCACATTGTATTCTGCTCCGTGCCATTCCCAACACTTTGTTTCTTGCCCTCCTATTGCAGCCTTCGTAGCTAGACTGAAGTCAACCCACCAACAGCTTCTGATCTCGGGGCCATTCGCTTCGCAGTCGGAGGCTTTAGGGTGCGGCCCGGGGATACAGTTAGAATGTGGGGGGTTTGTCCGTTTTTTGGGAGTTCGGAAGCTGGTCAACTCAGATTTTGAGCTCCGCGGCCTCAGGCAGTAAGCTTGGCTGAATCTCAGCGAGCCTCTTCGGAATTGGTCCAGGGACTTCGGGCGTGCTTGCATGAATCTTTGACGTTTGACTTGACGACTGCGGCCCAGGGAACGAAGAATGACGGGGAATGCATGATAGGAAGCTTCTGCATGCGCACACAGTGTGTGTGTGTGTATTGAATGCACAGTTGAGCAAGAGCTTGGTAGACATAGGCGGTACTGGTAGGCGGGACAACGTGTCATGCACATGGAGACAGATGATGATATATGACATGGCTATAAACCGGAACCCACACACCCTGCGATTCCATGTCCCATCCGCCTAAGGCTCGCCTCACATCAGCAGCACTCCGCTTGCTGTCTGCTCTTACCCACCACCCATGAACAAGTCTCTTCAACCCCTAACTCACGCCCTTGGTGTACGTTGTAGGAGTGGGCGGAAACCGGGAGGTTAAAGAGGGCCAGGCAAGCACACAAACCTCTTTCACATCTACAGTTGGGGTTTCAGGTTTGGGGTACTTTGCCTCTTGGCGAAAAGTGGTGGCCCAGCCGCATTTTGCGGGCATCCACGCTACACAGAATACGAAATCCATACTGCTTCTTCTGCTTCTCCGCAGCAGAGAAGACACAATGCAACCGGACTGCTGCAGCAAGAGCATCAGTAACAATGTCTTCTCAAGGCATCAACTTGTGTTGCAGCTGTCCGAGGGTCACATCCTGCTGCAGTTTTACGCAATCTGAAGGTAGCCAGCGCTGTCGTCCCCAACGAGGTCCTGTCGAGACCTGGATGTGTACAGCACGGCCATGAGCAGACCTGCCAGGACCCCACTGGAATGCTGCATTAAAGTGCACAGCGAGCCCCTAGAAGGCCCGAGCCTGCTGCAGCCAACGCCGGCCAGCGCCACAAGGACATCGAACGCACAGCCACGGCATTCTCAGGCAGGGCCACCAAATTGGGTGCATCGCCCTGCAATGCGCAAGCAAAGGCACCAAGCCAAGACTCGAACAATGGGTTCCCTACGCCTAGCTACAGTTTTCGGGTAAGTTTGATTTTGTCGCGCCTTCAGAAGGTTGTCAACAACGTTGCTGGTGGCGGCATCGACATCTCCACCGTGCCTGCAGACGTGAAGTAACTAAGTAACGGGGGGGAACACAGGAGGCGAAACTTGACACCGCCCGAGGCACATGATCACTTCGCCGGCATAGGGCTTCCCGGACGTGTCGGTGATGATCCTAGTCGTTGCCAAAGCATACTTGGAGGTTCACGGTACTTATTAACCAATTGTAACTGTACTTGTACGGGTTAGACTTACAGCTACAAGTGGCTAAAAAGTACCATGAACCTCCAAGTAGAGCACTGTGTTTGTATTGGGACCGGGATGATGGCAGGCCGCGTAGTAGCAGGGGGCATTGCCCCAAACCGTTGCAAGGGGGGAAAACCACGGTCTATGCGGTTGAATGAAGGCTTCTCTTTGCTGCTTGGGGTGGATGTTCAGGGTGCCACAGCAGACTCAGCGAAGATCCCTTGTAGAACCGACACTGACCGTTTATGATGTTATGAATGAAGCCAGCCGAGGGCGAAGTTGAGTCGAGAATCTTATCGAAGTTCCAGGCGATGGTTCCCGGAGGCGTGTTGGCCAGCAGGTACTTGTACACCGCATCGTTTTGAGCGCAGCACTCTGCTGATTCTGGGGTGCACGCATCTTCGCCAGAGTACGTGCAGGCGACATCATTCAGGTTCGACTTGGCAAACATGATCACCTTGGTCGTATCAACAGCTCCTCCTGAACCCGAAGCCCAGCTTTATCCAGAAACCCTAGCGTCCGGATCGAAACACCGATTGAAATTCCTCGCCCAACCCTTCCAAAAAGCCTTCAAGTCTACTCTCGGGCCCTCAGAAAAGTTGTGCAGGGAACATGGCACTTCGGGTTTAAGGGTCCATGAGCCAAGGGATCCTCTCGAAGTCCCAGCGGCGTTGCTGCCACGGCCGGAGTTGGCCAGATCAATGTACTGCTCGGCAAACTTCTTGATCTCTGCGTTTGTGCCGGGCTCTTGCTTTCCGAACTGGTTGCAGGGGAACAGCAGAAAGCGAACCTCAGAATACTACACAAGAGGCCTGCAGAAGGCCTGCACTGCCTACACTCGCAGCTAGCGGTGGCGGCATCACGCGCCGAAAGAGCAGTCACGGCACAGGCTTGCCAGCGTACTTCTTCTGAAGGCGGGTCAGCATCTCATAGTTGGATTGCGTGAAGCCTCAGTTGGTTGCCACGTTGATGACGACGCTGACATTGCCTGTCCACACGGTCACAATAGGGGACTCGTGACTAGTGTGGTAGGGTGCTCAACATCCGTTAACATCCCTGCAGCCGCCTTCCAAGGCAAGGGGAACCTTCTTCCCGTCGACATCTACAGCTGTCAGATCATAGAGGGAGGAGGCAAGAGCCGAAGCCAGCGCCGAGAGAGCCCAAGCCTCACCGAATGACACCAAATGAGCCCTAATCAAAACAGAGCTCGTATACGAGCATATTCGCACATGTTCTATTGATGTATCGATATCTTCCTATATGACTCTATCACGATATTCATGTTTTATGCCACAGAAGAAACTAGAAACCCTTCCTTAAGCTCAAAGATGAAGGCCAAGAAACGCGTCGAAGAGCCATGGGGCCCTGTGGCTCTCAGGGGCGCTTTCTAGGGGCGCACGAGGTTTCCTCCTTGAGCCCAAAGGGGCCTCGGAGGCCGCCGCTGCCACGAACGTCCAAGAGTCGTTTTAAAGAGTTCGAATATACGAATACTCTACAGTAGCTTAGGTCGAGGTTTTTCTAGGATGTCTCAGGTCCCATGGTGAAACTTAAGGCGCCTTGATCTTCAAGACTTGCCCCCAGAACATTGTAAGGTCTACCGATTCTACCGGAAGGCTTCCACGACGACCGTGTTCGCCTCCCCCCCCTGAACCATCGTCTGCAGGCGATCCTGGTGGATGCCACGTCGAACTAGTAGCCTCTTCAGGCTGAGGGCCCGAGCATGGGCATAGGGCTGCACCCAGTCCATCCTCTCTTTCGGGAAGTCCTCGTGAAAGTCGTGGTAGAAGGCTGACTCAGTGCGCTGGCTGACCTCGCCACTTCCATACGAGATGCCCTTCAGACGAAAGCGGAAACTAGGATAGCGCTTCATAATCCTCGCAAGCTCATCTACAAGATGGAGATTGTCACCGATTGCGGTGGCGTCCCAAGATCTCTGCATCTTCTGCTTGCACTCAGCATCCGACTCACCAGACTTCATCTCATGGGCCAAAAACACCAAGTGCCTCATAAGCCTGAGCTCCTCACTGACCTGCGAAAGCTCCTGTGGTGCCTGGTTTGCATAGAAATTGAGAGCACCTAGACAGAGGCACAGCAGAGCCGCTAGGAGCAAGGTGACAAAGGTGCTGGCAAACGAAGTGTTGCAGGCAGCAGGGACGGAGCCTGACACGCACTGCCAGAGCAGGCTGGCCGGCCCGACATCGTAGTGACTCTCGTGACTCTCCTGGCTCTCGTGGTCCAACTTCTCGTACTTTCGAAGAAGCTCGTGTCTGAAGCGGCTTGGCTGCTCAGATGAGCCTTGAACAGTAAGGGCCACCACACCTCCCACGGCCAGCAGGCAGAGCGCCGCCAGCAGCGCAAGTCTCAGCCACAGGGCTGAGGTGGTCACGCGGCATTGCAAAGGTGCCGGCCCCTCCTGCCCCTCTCCAAGCAGCCATGCCCCCTCCGCATCCTCCTCCTCATCTTGCACAGCCATGTGGAGGCTCATGGCTATCGGGGCCGTGACATACGCATCATTGTCACTTGGGCCTCAACAGCAAGTGTAGGCAAGACATGGAAGACAGTGGTCATCTTTCAGAGATCCAATCCGAGAGCAGTCTTTTGCCAGTCCTCTCATCACCAAGCTGCGACAAGAACAGCTCGTCCTGAGGATGTCCGGAGGTTCACCAAAAAAACGAAGCTACGTCCGAGCAGGCGAAGGTCCTCGACCCTGGAGCCACCTCGGCGCTAGCTGACGAGGTTTTGGCCCCAGAACTCCACAAAGCAACTTTCACAACACTGCATCTTCATAGTTACATGCCTCCTGCCTCCCCATAAAACGAAACACTTCCGGATGATCATTTGTCCGCTAACTTGTCATTCTCGGATGGCCGCAGAACCTTTCTGCATCTGGGCAGCTCAGCTGCGTGTTCACAACGTAGACAAAGGGACCCTGTCGACCGTGGACTTGTGTTTCGGAGGAAGGATACACGCAAGACACGTCCTAAGAGTGTTCGGAAGCCAGCAGGAACCTTATGTGTATAAGGAACAACCCGTTTGCAGTTTGCTTCGAAGCCTTCGAAGCACTGCACCTTCAACCAGAAACGAAAACAGCACAAACCCTAAACCCCGACCTCTAAACTCCTCGCAGCCCGCGTCACCTCCCACTCCGATGGCTAGTTCTCGAAGGCTTTGGGTACCATACAAGACAGTGTCATAGGAACCCTTAAACCATGAACCTCAAACTCTGTCTTAGAGAACCCCCCGCTTTGGGTAGTTCTCTGAAAGGTTTTGGGTTTAGGGTTTTGGGCTTGAGGTTTAGGGTGGTCCCCTATATACTTCGGCACCCTTACAATCAGCTAAACCCTTAACCCTACACCGTAAACCTTACACCTTAAACCCTAAACCCTAAACCCTAAACCCTACTTATCAAGACCATTTAGAGAACTACCCACATGAGGCCCCAAGCACCTCGTCGGAGCCCTTCAGTCCGAGCCTGCGAGTCTGAGGGTTTAGGGTTTAGGGCCGGTTTAGGGTTTAGGGTTTAGGGTTTTGGGTTTAGGGTTTAGGGTTTAGGGTTTAGGATTTAGGGTTTAGGGTTTAGGGGCCACCCTCAACTAAGCTCAAAGCGTGCAACAGCCCCAAAGGACCTAAAGGCCTTTCATCCACTGAACTCCCAACACCCAGACCTTGAACCCTGAAATTCCGTGGGACATTGAAATCCTAAACCCATGAATACCCCACCAAAATTCGAACCTGAGCCCTCTACACAAAAGCCTCAAGCCCTCGAATTTACAGTCCCTCGACCCCTGAGATTGAAAATTCCACACAAGAGCCAAAAATCTTTCAATGCTTAGGAACCCTCCCTGAAAATCCACGCAACATCCCAAAGCCACCTAAACCCTAAACCCTTGAACCCTAAACCCCACACCCTAAACCCCTAAACCCCTACACCCCTAAAACCCTAAACCCTTAAAGCCTTAAACCCTTAAACCCTTATTAAACCCCTAAACCCCTAAACCCCTAAACCCCTGAACCCTGTCACCCTAAAAAATACCACTGTAGAAATGTTGGGTCCGGGACCGGGCCCACACCGCAGAGCGTGCGACCAAGGCTTGTGAATCGGGGCCTTGATCAGCTTGGGGTTTAGGGTTTAGGGGGTTAGGGGTTGAGGGGTTTAGGGGTTTAGGGGTTTAGGGGTTTAGGGGTTTAGAGGTTTAGGGGTTTAGGGGTTTAGGGGTTTAGGGGTTTAGGGGTTTAGGGGTTTAGGGGTTTAGGGGTTTAGGGGTTTAGGGTTTTAGGGTTTTAGGGTTTTGGGGGATTTGGGTTATAGGCCCTGAATATGGTCCCTTGCCTTCTTTAAAGGGTTCTGAAGTTTGGGGTCTTGGGTTGTATAGGGTATACAAGGAGTCCTCATTTAAGGGCCGACTGATATCTACCCTAAGAGTTTAGGGTTTAGAGGGGCCTTAGGGGAATGGGAGGGTTGCGACGCCATCCATTAGCGTGGGCCTTCTGGTTGAGGCTGAGGGCCCAGCCCTGCGCAACGGTCAGGGACGGGGAGGAGATCTGCTCCACACCCGTCCTGCCAAAACATACTTGGGGGAGTTTGGGGGGGGACTTAGGGTGGGAAGGCACCGAGGCACCCACAACTGTGCTTCCCAAAGGCAATCGTCGCTGCGAAGGTAGAGCCTCCAAAGCAGCAGAATAAGCAAGAGTGAAAAAGCCCGACCAAAAAGGACCGTGACACCAAGCAGCCTCCAAAGGCTCAGCTAACCAGCCCCGCAGGCCCCTGAAAACCCGTGCTTTTCTGCAAGCTCGGGGCGCGGCTCGTTGACCATGAGGCTGTTATGAGCAACCGGTGGGACAGCCTTAGAGAGCCAGGAAGGGAGGTCTCCCCATTTATGACTAACACTTGGCATGGAACCCGTCAAAGAACCCCCTCCCTAGAGGGGAGCCCGATGCAGAACAAGACCCCAGGGTTGGCAGGACGTGTTAAACCACAAGAAGCAACAACTCCGAGGCTCCGAATCTCACCTTAACACCCAAAAAGCCCGAAACCCCCACAAAACCCAACAAAAGCCTAAGAGCCCTACCCAACCCTTCAACCCCTAAACACCCAAATCCCAACACAAAAATCTCGAAATGCCCCCTTTAAAGCATCCTAAAGCCCCAAACCCCGAAAACCCACCCCTAAGCCCCAAAGCCCGTGCCACCGGGCGCTCAAAGCGCCAGGGTCGTCATAGAGGCACTCGCGCAGCGGCTGGGCCTTTCGCTGAATTTGATGGTTTTTGCAGCCAGCGGCCAATATCACTACATGTAGAATTCGCAGTAAAGAATCTTGACGGTAACCGTAGCCGGCACTGCAGCAGTGGCAGATGAAGTTGTATTTGAAGAAGCAGAGCAGGCGCAGTAGTCGGAAAAAGCGAAGCTTTAGGCCTTCACGGCGGATGAGATCAACTTGCTGTACCCGACCTTAGTGGAAGCGTCTTCTGCTACGTGCAGCAACCCGGCACTACCCACAGCTCGGGGCAGTGGCTTTAGGGATTTTATCGATGAACCTCACATCTGGGCTTCGAGCTTGGCCGAAGAGGTCGATACCCTCTAAGCCTTCCTGCCAGGATTGTGTCTGGGGACCTATATCGTTTGAGAATTTTTGGGGGGGGGTCTTTTTCTCTGCCCAAGGTCCCTGAATCTGTCCTGCACGCAGATCACATCAGGGCGAGGCGCTGCCGACGTGATCTCGACAAGCCGACGCCTGACAGAGCCCCGATTCCGGAGAGCCTCTGCTTGAGCAGACGCTGCGCCTCGCAAGAGTCGGATCCTGAGGAAAGCTGGCCAGGTACTGCAAGTTCAGGGTCATGACCTCATCGCCCAGACATGGAGGCCCAAGCCCCAACCCGGCATTGCAAATCTGAGCCCAGGCCCTCATACTCAGACCCCCGCCACCAGCTCCCTACCCGGCGCCAGGACCGCGCGCAGGGGCCGCGAGGACCCTGGGTGCAGGGAGGCCGACCAATCAGCGCCAAGGTCTCCTGGCCCACAGGGTTCGTCAGGGCCGCTCGCACTTCTATTGGTGAAATGGGAGACGAAAGCCATGCCCAAAGCCATGCCGGAACCACCCCCAGCTTTGATCTCAGCCTTGACCTTGTGGAGATTCCCCACCTTCAGCGACAGCCTGGAGCGAGGGGGGGGGGGGGGTCATCAAGCGCAAGACACTGCACAACATGCGCAACTGCCTTACTTGCTGGGCCCATGGCTGCTTGCCCGAGTGTAGCATCACCGCCAGACGGCCGAGCTGTTGAGCCTGGCGCCAGGGAGGTATGGCAAGCAGCTTCAAGGACAATACCCCCACAGCGCAGGAGCGAAGAGGAGGAGAACCAACTGCGTTGTCGCATCGGAAGTCTTCTGGAATGCGTTCGAAGACGTGTAGAGACATGAAGCGGGAGGGCAGCCAGACTTCTGAGGAACGCTTGGCAAGATCTGCAGGCTGATCTGAATGCACGCCGTGTTCAATGAGATCACACTTGGAGCTTTCAAGGGCGGCGTGGCGCGCGGGAAAGCTGGAAAGCTGGGGGGCTGCAAGGCTTTCTTCATTGGGTGCTGGCTGGGACTCCTCACACAGCTGTGCCCGATACCAAAGCGGCTCACCAGTCAGGCAGTGATGCAGTGGCTAGGAGTTGAGGCAACGATACTGGGAAGGGACCCGTCATCCTACTACCCGATACAACCTCGATGCATAGAAATATAAGTATAAAAAATATATACATATATATAATATAAATTATGCGAAATTATGTGCAGATAATGGAAACATGCCTAACAGTCAGCCTTGAAATACCTAAGTATCCCCAATAACAGCCCCTCCATTGAATGTCACCCCCCAACCCCCCCCCCCCCCCCAAAAAAAAAAAAACTCCGGGAATGCTCCCCACCTGCTCTGGGAACTCCAAGGGAAGCACTGTGCCCCGTTGGCCATTGAGCTCCAGCTTGGAAAGGCCCCTGCGAGCAGCGAGACATAGGCATATCCTTGCCCAAACTGCTTAAACCACCATCCTCCAAACTTACCTGTTTTCCCCCCTGGATGGATTCTCCTTGTTGGTTCTTCCATTGGCCTAACTGCCGATTGCAGGCAATCTGGTGTATACAGCATGCACAACACGCCTCAGCTCCACCTCATCTCCCGCGCAGAAGCCCCACTCTTCCATGGCTCATAGCCGGGCTCAGGTGGCCCGACGCGGCATCCCTGGTATCAAATCCTGCCTGTGTAAGAGGCCCTGGAGGGCAGGCTGGGGTAGAGAAGTGATTCTTCTGTTGGTAGGTCGGTGCGGCAGGAACGTTAGTATGTCTTGCTCACTTGTTGAGAAGCAGCTACTGTATCAGGTTCGACAGGCTTTCGAAGTCTGTCAGTGTGTCACAGTGTGTCAGATTAGGCTAAGAGGCCACGAGGGTCTGGGGTAGCATGGATCAAGCTGATTCAGAGCTTCGTCACGCTGCGTGACATCACCGCCATTCAAGCTCCCCGTCTGCAGCTTGACCATCGCAGCCATCGCATGATTGCATGAAGCTTCTTCTAAACTAGGGCCCCCGGGAGGCATGTTCTGTGACCCCCTTTTTAAGGGCTGCCTTTCGAAAATTTCTCGGGGCCCCTTCCGAAACCTAAACCCTCAGCCCCTGTAGAAAAAAGGTAGGAAGAACTTGCCTCGAGCTCCGTACACCGGTCCACTGATTCCTGCAAACTCCTGGGCTGCTTATCAGCAAGGTCATGTTCATGCGCTGACCACACATGTTCACATATGTATACTGTATGCATATGAACAATAGTAAATGCATATATATATATATATATGTATATATAGATGTGAATGTTTATGTAACGTTTCTATGCCTTCCTAGAGGTGTGCTTTTTATGTATGTATGTATACATGTGTGGCATGTATGTGCATATGAATTCATGTGCTTTTGCTCCTATCTTTTGTTGCGTCCCCTTTTCCCCTTCAGCTGTCCTTGTGAAGCTGACGTCTTCTTGCTGGGCAAGGCGGCGTGCCTGGCACGCACCGTGTTTGATGACAATCCTGCTGTACCCAAGAAACATGAGTCAGAACGTGGTCAGTCAGGCATGCATAAACCTTTAACATTCTCTCATCTCGATGTCATACAGATCCGCACATGCACGCTTTTTGTTGACTTCTACCGCTCCAGGAGAAGATGGCTAGGTCATGACATTCTGTGCCGGTCCAGGTGTCGACCGGCCGAGCACCACCCCGGCAACACGTGAGCTCGTCATCAAGGACGAATCTTCGTCGTCCGCCTCCTTCAGAAGTTCCTGGATGCTGTCCATATCATCAGGGAGAGGCTGGGCACTGGTCTCCAAAATCGCTCTCTTGATCTGGGCCGACTCGAAACTGTCGAAGAGCTCCTCTTTGGACTGGGCGCCCTGCAGAACCAACACAGTCCACTCGTTGTTCTGACTGCTGGCACAGAATTGTTGACACTAGTAATACTGCATACTACTACTGAGTCATGCTCCTGCTTTCTGGGACCTGGGGTGGGGAGTTGAAACGGCGGTCTCATGGTGTTCTACCGCCAGGAAACGTCGTGCCAGGCGGGAAAGCCCGAACCCTCCAACCCAAAACCCTAAAACCCTAAAACCCTAAAACCCTAAAACCCTCAAACCCCAGTGGAAAATACGAAAACCCTAAACCCCGAACCCCAATGGGCTTAGGTTTCCGGAAGCTTCGGAAGTTTAGAAACTTCAGAAAGTTTAGGAGTTTAGGAAGTCTATTAGGAAGTCTAGGAAGTTTAGGGGGAAGTTTAGGGGGAAGTTTAGGGCCTAAACCCCAAACCCTAAACCCGCAACCCTAAACCCTAAACCGTGAACCCTAAACCCTAAACCCTAAACCCTAAACCCTAAACCCTAAACCCTAAACCCTAAACCCTAAACCCTAAACCCTAAACCCTAAACCCTAAACCCTAAACCCTAAACCCTAAACCCTAAACCCTAAACCTAACCCTAAACCCTAAACCCTAAACCCTAAACCCTAAACCCTAAACCCTAAACCCTAAACCCTAAACCCCTAAACCCTAAACCCTAAACCCTAAACCCTAAACCCTAAACCCTAACCCTAAACCCTAAATCCTAAACCCTAAACCCTAAACCTTTAGAGGCCTCCAGCTCGCCCAGGAGCGCCGCGCACTCCGAGGCGAGACGCTCGCCGTGGAGCTGCGACGCCGAGGCCAGCTCCGCGGCCTTTCGCGGGCTTTTGGGGGGGCTTTTGAGGGCTTTTGGGGGGGCTTTTGGGGGTTTTTTGGGGGGCTTTTGGGGGGCTTTTGGAGGGCTATTGGGGGGTTTTTGGGGGGTTTTTGGGGGGCTTTTTGGGGGCTTTTTGGGGTTCAGGGGCGTTCTGGCCTTTAGGGTTTTTTGGCTTGGGGGTTTTTCGGTTTTTAAGGGCTTTTGGGGTGGAGGGGACTGGAGGTTCTGTAGGGGTTTGCGGCTTAGGGGTTTGGAGGTTTTTGCGAGGTTTTGAGTGGTTTTTCGGAGATTAATCGTTTGGGCGTTTTGCGCGTTTGGGGGTCTAAGGGTTGAGGCGTTTCACGGGGTTTTTTGGAAGGGAGGGGGGGTAGGGGTTTGGGGTTTGGGGTTTGGGGTCTTGGAGCCTGGGTCGTGGTTCGCGACGGCAGCCCCCTGTCTGGGAGGGATTCTGTTGTCACGGGCTTCAGAACTAAGCCCCAAGGAAGTTGGAGTTTAGGGCTTGGTGAGGGTTGGGGTTTGGAGTTCAGGGTATTGGAAGTTTTGGGCCTTCCTCAAGACCTTCCTGCCCAGCAGTGGGGGAGGGGGGGAGCGGGGGCGATGAAGCTCCCCAAAGCCTTCAATTCACCCCTGCAGCCCTAAACCCTAAACACTACACCCTAAACCCTAAACCCTAAACCCTAAACCCTAAACCTAAACCCTAAACCCTAAACCCTAAACCCTAAACCCTAAACCCTAAACCCATACATAAGGCTAAACCGCATAAACACGGAGGAGCAAAGGCAAGACTTCTTAGGCCTCAAACACCTCCTTAATAGGGACCCCCTCTTCCTGTCTTTCCTGGAATCTGCGCCGACGCGCTGCCCCCACTTGTTCAAAAGACACGCCAAAGCACTTGCATGCGCATGGCTGCCATAAAAAAAAAAACCTAAACCCTAAACCCTAACCCTAGAACCTCCCAGGCCTCCTGCAGGCGCTGCGCTGCAAGGCTGGCCATGGTGAGCTCGGCGGTGTCGCGCGCTCGCCGCTGCTTCTGCGCCTCGTTCAGGGCGTGCATCACCTCCGGGCAGACCCGGAGCTCGGTCACCTGCAGAGGTTTAGGGTTTCGGGTTTCGGGTTTAGGGTTTTAGGGTTTTAGGGTTTAGGGTTTAAGGGTTTAAGGGTTTAGGGGTTTAGGGTTTAGGGTTTAGGGTTTCGGGTTTCGGGTTTCGGGTTTCGGCTTTAGGGTTCAGGGTTTAGGGTTTAGGGTTTAGGGTTTAGGGTTTAGGGTTTAGGGTTTAGGGTTTAGGGTTTAGGGTTTAGGGTTTGCAGAGGTGTAGGGCTTCGGGGATTAGGGGCTTGGGGTTTGAGGTGCTGTTTGGTCTTTGTGTTGGTGGGGTTGGCGGGCTCCTCTTGAATCGCTCTGCGTAGAGCAGTAACCTGCGAGTTTCAGGTGCCCCCTGAAACTTCAAAGCACCCCTAAACCCTAATTAAACCCTAAACCCCAAACCCTAAACCCTAAACCCTAAACAACCATCTTCTTTGGCCAGTCTGTTCGCCTCCATGCGGTGGATGGTGAAGCCATAGCCGCGCACGTAGTCGGAAAGCTGGTCTCGGACGGACGTCGTCATCTCATCCTTCCTTCCGAACACCTCCTCCAGCCGCAGCCTTTGCAAGAATCCGCAGACCGGTCCTGTAAGGAAAGACCTCATCAGGCCATCAAAGTCCTCGTGCAAGAGCTTGTAGATGGCGTGCTTGGCCATCTTGGGCATCACCGAGTACTGGACGGTAATCTCTGCTGTGATGAACTCGTGGTCCCGCGTCTGTGTCGATATCGAACAGTGGTCCTCTTCCTCGCTGTTGGTTCGCGGGGAATGAGGGAATCAGGGTCCTAAATACATATATATATATATATATACATATGTATATGTACATATGTATATATATATATGTATATATATGCCCTCTAAGGGATTATATAGGGTACATTATTCCCCCATTCCCTACTGACCAACAGTAAGCTTCCAGGCGTGTGGAGACGGCGCGGAAAGCGATGCACGTCCCGCAGAGGTCCAGCCCTGCAAAGCCGAAGCCAGGTCCCAGCAGTCTCTGGAAAGCCCCGAAGCGTTCCTTGCACTAAAAGTATACTCACATCATCATACAATAATAGTAGTATAATATACGAATATATTATAATATATTAAAATAAAAGTATAATGATATAATGATCTAATAATATAATAATATAAGTGCTAGAGTCCTAAAAAGCTTGACATGGAAGAAGACTCCTCTTTAAAAAAAAGTACGACGAAAGCTGCCAGGAAAATCGGGCAGCCACTGCCACATACGTCTCTGCCGGCACATTAACCTGAAGGCAGCCAAGTGGAATAGGTTGAGCAAGGCCATGCGACGCCTTCCCCTCTCAAAACATGCCCCGCTGGTTTCGTCGTATGGCTACTCTAGGCTACTCTTCTACGCGCATTGTTGTGGCCAAGATACGCAGCAGTTCGTTCCTGGCAAGCAGCCGCGCTGCGGCTGCATGGGCCCATGGTGCGAAGCCGCTGGAGAAGGCGGGACGGGACGGAGATCTCAACCCGTTGGGGACTCAACCGGGTCTCTGCTTTTGGGCGGTAGCTACAAATCGCCCTAGATGTGAAGTCGATCGTGAAGGTCAGGACACGACCCGCTCGTCTGTTGAACTTTCAGACTCTGAGCCATCGGTGCAAGAGATCGCCTGGGGGAGAGACGGCAGGTATAGCCGACAGCTACAGGTGACCTTAAGACAGCGCCGCACACATGAACCTAAGCATGTTCATTCCCATACGAGATGGGTCATGGTGAGGAGACAGGGTGAGGCCGCGTTTGCCCTGGTATTCAAGGCTCTCTCTCGCTGCATTCGCAGCTCGCCACAGGCCCTGAACGAGATGTCTAAGCACATCCCTGTCCCCTCTAGCTAGGGTATCTGTCGCTGATCTGCGCCCAAAGGGCACCATGCTTGGAGGACAGGTCTGCAGAAACTCCCGAGATCCTTTAAGCCTCCGGCTTCAGATCCTAGGCCTATTTTGTACACTAGAACCCTGTATTATCCACCATCCCCTCCACCTCATAGGGGGGGGGGGTTGTTCGCGTCCTTGCGAACCCTACCTTCGAACCACCAGCACCCCTCTCAGCGGCGGCAGCAAAGGGCTTGGAAAGCTGTCCATGGGCATTCCGGGCTCGGCCATCTTGGCTGCAAGGGCTTCCAGGTTGATGAAGGCTTTGAGTAGGAGGCTTCAGGAAGTTTCGGGCTGTTTGAGGGGGGGATTTCCGAGACTGCTGCAAGTCCCAGACAGTCTCACACATATATGGCACCAGGCTGGAAAGTTCTGATTCTGTCTTCCCACGCTTCAAATTGTCACCAAGGCCTTCGCAGGAGACAGCCGCCTTGGAGATGTTGGCCTTCACGCGCGCGGCTCTGCAGATCGAAAGGAGACCCCGCAAACTCCATTTGAGCTGCCAGAACAAAGAGTTTTTGCCGATACCCCCACTGGCAAGTAAATGCCTTGCTGTGCATCTCACAGCTCACATTCTGCGCTTTCACTGCGACCGCATGATTTGCCGACCAGCACAACATTGAAAACAGCTTGCGCCAGCGGTGGACCAGAAGGAGCTCACATGATCAGCATCTGTCAGACTGTCAGGCAAGTCAAGCGTGCTGAATATGTACACCCGTTATGTACAGGCAGTCTTTCTCCAGACTACGGTCGGTGGCTACCCCAGCACGTCAGCTGATCTGAGCTTCGGCCTTTGCATTCAGCTGTCATGTTCGCTGAAGGCAAACAGAGCGCAAGCACTGTTGGCGTGGAACCTGTGCGATCTTCACATCCAGCGCAAGCACCACAGCGTCACCACCTCGGAGCGGCAAGACGCCCTCTTCAGCTCTTTGCAACCACTCCTGATGTTCAGCAACTGCCACAGACAACAAACAGAAAAAGAGAAAGAGAAAGGGAGCGAGAGCGAGAGCGAGAGAGCATGTTGTCAGGGAATGCACGTCCACCACTGCTATTGTCAGCGAGCGGCCATTGTGCTCCTAAGGGAGAGGGGAGGGCGGAGTTGCGGACGGAGAAAGACAGGAAGTGAGACTTCAAAACAAGGAAGAGTCGTGTGCTATTCAATGCCACCATCACGACAGCATCTGTCCAACATGCACCTGAAAGTCTTCGCTGAGTACTGAAACACGTTACAACCGTCACACGAACAGCGGACAGACCCCTACGACATGTTTAGCAAAACCATGCGCGCATCCAGCCAGCCAGCTCAGTTGAAAACTTGGGTTACTCGCGCCCTAATGCCGAAAGCCTGAAGCCTGAGGCCCTGACATACCCTGAACCCAAAATCCTGAACTCTGAGAGCCCTACATAACCCAAACAAAACGAGGACGTTTCGAGGCTCCGGCCCCCGTACACCCCGCTTTCTAGCAGCTGGCGCCGCTGCGTCCGGAGCCAGGCCTGGTACTTCAAAGATGATAAGTAGATGTTATAATTAAACATACAAGAATGTAAGAATAAACAAACAGAGTAACACAACAATATAACAAGCTCACAATATAATATTCCAGAATATTCTTATAAGAATATAAGAATATAAGAATATAAGAAGATAAGAATATCAGAGTGCACTAAAGCAATACTATAACCATACAACACGAACATAATGTGCAAAAATAGAAACGCAATGACAAAATCCATATACTAAATGAACAAAAGGCAATATATTAATGTACTAATTTATTAATATAAGAATATTCACATAGTAGAATATAATATAAATACTAGATAATTATAAAAACATATAACAATACATCAATAGCTTATATATTGATATAAGAATGTTGGTATGCGAATAAACGAATATAAGAATATAAGAATAGAAGCAAGCTATAAGACGACAAGAAATAAGAATCCAAACGCTGTATCATAATAATAGTAGTAATACTAATAACAAATATAGTAACATATCAATACAATAATACAAAGGTATAACAAAACACGCATACAAAAAACAATATATATATATATAACAGTATATTAATAAACAATATAAAAACACATCAATATACGAATATAGTCATATAGTGAAATTAATATTTGGGTGCTTCAAAGATCTTCGAGTTCCTCGACTCCGAGCTGACGGTTTTTAGGGTTTCGGAGTTGCGGGTTTAGGGTTTAGGGCAACTCAGTTGAGGGGGCTTTCGCAAGAAATGACGAGGGACTAGGCTTTCATCGGGGTTTAGGGCTTTGGTTCGGGGATTCTTGGCTTCGTGGCATCACTTGGCATCAGCTTTCAACGGGCCCCTGGACCCTTCTGAGCGGCCGAACCAGGTGCTGCTGCGCTTGTTGAGGGTCCTGCAAATCGCATTAGCGTGCATTGCCAGAACTCGCAGGAAAAAGACTCAGCGCAGATGGAGGGATCAGACAGTCTGCCACGACATTGCTTCGTCCACATTCAGATAATACGGCGCATGAAGTTCAGAAAACATCGTAATGCACGTTGTCTTTCCTGCGCCTTCAGATATTTGGAATCGCTCATGCGAGTCTGTCAGACCCTTGAGGCACTGTCTTTCTTTGCCTGCCGGAATTCTTCGAATTTGTCGTTGACCTTTTTCTCCTTCTCCTGAGTTGGTGCACCGGGAAGCAGTTTCGCCGGAGCCATCGGCCATGGCCGGTGCACTCCACAAGCTGGCCTTTCTGGGAGTTGGCTCATCCTCTGCTCCATGTGCTCCTTCCTTTGATGGGCCTCCTCCTGCTTGCTCCAGAACATGATGGTCCTCTGCTTGTTGATGGTACAGTAACCGCTTGCTTTTGCGTGGCACGAGCATGCATTAGATTGGTGATGTCATGAAGGAAGCCTCTCTCTAGTGGCTGAGGTTGAACTGCCGGCTGCCCTGGATGCAATGCTAGAAGATTCTGCGTTTCCGCGGCTGAGTCGCGTGGGGGTCCTCTTGCTTCTCCATAGCTTCGCACACGGCCAGGCAAGAACTGACAAAACAACAATCACCACATCGCTTCATGTAGCCCCTAAACCACTTTTTTGCCACTGGACTGAAGGCAAGTCAGCCCCTAAACCCTAAACCCTAAACTCTGAATTGCATGACCTTTCCCCACTGTCCTGCAAGGTCCTCGCTGGACCCGTGGAGGGCCTAACAAAAACCGCAGGCGGACCAAGGCCCCCAACATCAACATCTTCATGCAGACACAACATCTATCTGTATCTACATACATCTCTGTCAGATATTCTTTCTTGATTATAATACGAATATATATATATATATATATATATATATATATATATATATGTCTATGCATATGTATACATATACATACGTACATACATACCTACCTACGTACGTGCGTGCGTGCGTACGTACGTACATACATATACATATATGTAGATATATATATATATATATATCTACATATATATATATATATATCATATCCATACATCGTGTCTTCTTTTGTTGTTTCAGAAGTATCGGCACGAGGGCCCCTGCTCTTTTGGTGGGCTTTGGGCAGGGCTCCCTCGGCTGCGGTCCCAGCTCGACCTGGCTGAGGGAACCCAAAAAGGGAGGTTTAGGGTTTAGGGTTTAGGGGTTTAGGGGTTTAGGGGTTTAGGGGTTTAGGGGTTTAGGGGTTTAGGGGTTTAGGGGTTTAGGGGTTTAGGGGTTTAGGGTTTGGGGACCTGGTCCGCTTTCAAAAGCTTGGGGTCGAAGCTGTAAGTTCGGCCACGGGGTAGTTCCTTTACATTCAGGTCCCTTCTTGCGGGTTCTTATGTTAAGGGTGCCGTACTCTATAGGGGGCCCCGACAAGGAACCCGAATCTGAGAACTACCCACATGGGGCATGGGAGGAAGTATGCCTGCGCGCGCGATCCGGACAGCTGTCAAAGTTGCTCTCAAGTGGGCACCATCCTGGTGTTCACCATGCTCGCACTTCTGGCAAATCATGTCGGATCTGCGCCAAGTTCGCCAACTCCTCCCGGACCTGCGATTCGCAGCGAACAGTCAAAGGTCAAGCAGTCTATATTCAGGCTCAGGCATTCGAACTGTTGCTTAAGGGTGCTGCAAGAAGCACACGCCACACTGCCCGCTGCAGAGAGACTCTGATCAACCCTCTCCAGTCTTCGGAAGGGCCGGTGCCTTTCGCAGAGCCTGGGCGATGCCTTGAGACATTCCCTCGGAGGCGGAGGTTCCTCAGAGTCAGGTGTGGCGCATTCGGGACTCAGGTGGTTTACTGTACGGCTTGAAGGAGGCTCAGTCTTCTGAGAAGTGGATTGCCGCCAGGCCCCCCGGCCGAACACACCAAGCGCCGTCAGGGCCTTCTCCTGGAATGGGAGAGACAAGGCCCTGCGCGGCCATGCAAACTTCACACCCCGCCTGAGTGGCCACTGCTGCAGGGGCAGAGGAGCCGAGAAGCCGGCCACAAAGCTCTTCAACCTGCAAACCCCACATCGCTCAAGCACCTCTGCGTTCAACGCTGCGCGCGCGGCTCGGGGCAAACATAA